TAGATGCAGCTCTGCTTTGTCCTTCTGAGGTGATTCCTTACTGGCATGGTGGTCCTCCTGGCTCCCATTCTGGGATGTCCCAAGTCAGCAGTTCTGTCTCTTGCTTGCGTCAGGCTGGTTCTCAGCTGCTTCGCTATGTGGGGGTCTGCTTGCTGTACAGACACCCACACGTCCCTGTCCTCTCTTTCAGCCCCCTCTCCCTTGGACAATCAGCACTTCCTCTTCTTGGAACAATAGCACTTCCTCTGCCTCAGGACAAGGTTTTAAAGCAGCCATACTGTCTAAATCTGAAGGGGTTACATAGGTTTTATACTGCTTACCAGCAGAGATAGCATTATTCATTTTCCCAAAGGACAAGGTGAAGAGTCACCTGGGGTGAAGGCACCAGGTGTCAGAAAAAGAACCCAAGACCCAACCCTGGTGAGTAGAGGGGAGAAGCAACTCTTAAGTACAAAGCACCAGGGAGGAGGCTTGAGCCACACCTTGGGGAAGGTGCTACATACACAAATGCCATTTTGTTTCCCTTGCTGTTTTCATAGGTCATTAAATGCAAAGCCGCTGTTGCCTGGGAGCCTAAGAAACCATTTTCCATTGAGGAGGTGGAAGTTGCCCCCCCAAAGGCACATGAAGTTCGCATTAAGGTAGGAAAAAGATGAACTTTGTAAATTACATACTGTAGCAGTGCCAGTTATGTTTGTGCTATAGAAATGTAGGGCTTGATCTTACAAATAGCAACCACTCTGGTGGCAATATCTGATGAACTCGTATTGAATTATGCAGGCTATTTAAAACTGCTGTGTTGGTTCCAGAATATTAGAGAGACAAGCTGAGTGAGGTAATATCTTCTATTGGACCAACTTCTCTTGGTGAAAGACACAAGCTTTCAACTACACGGACCCGAAAAAGAGTAAAGATTTATGGAAGAGTGTGGCGGATGACAAAGGCCATAACTTGCTGTGCAAAAACACCAGAAGTTATGATCTCTGTCTAATAAATAAGCAGTCTTAGGGATCATGTCTTAGGTTTATTATGGTTATACTCACTTCTCTGGATACAAAATATATCTTCTCTTCTATATCATATCACACAGGTAGAAGCTGAAAAATTGGTTCCTTACGTATTGAAATATTCTTTGTTTTCCCTACAGATTTTGGCTACAGGGATCTGTCGCTCAGATGACTATGTCATGAGTGGTGCATTAACTGTGGCTTTTCCAATAATTCTTGGCCACGAAGCAGCTGGTATTGTAGAGAGCGTTGGAGAAGGGGTGACTTGTGTGAAACCAGGTATAAGAAAGCATCAAGCACTAACCAATGATAAGTAGTTCTCACCTAGCATTCACATACCCTGCTCCAATATCAAAGACACTAACATGTATGAACTCCTTTATTGCAGAGGAAACAAGTAATCCAACATTCAACCTTCACAGGGCCTTGTCAAGGATATTTTGGAGGAGAAATATGTTGTTTAAGTCTTTCTTGCTATACTCCCAAGTGATCTTTCCTATTTCAAAAGTTTTTGCCTGTTCACTTCTATTTTTATGTGACTATGAAGTGCTCTCCCCTTCCCCAGCATTCAAAAGAGGTGCTTATTTGTATTTCACTCAAAGGGAACCAAATGTGAGCTACCATTTTGAGTTCAGACCCTCGTAAGGGTTTCCGTTCAGCAAGGAATTTTAACGTGCCTAGCTTTGTGCATATAAATAGTCCTATTTATTTCAATGTGACTCCTTTATTAGTCAGGTGCTTAGATACCTTGCTAAATCAGGGCTCAAGTTATCAGACTTTGATAGCACTGAAATTCACACTTTATTTCACACTTGCTTTCTGTGCTAGTGTCACTTGAATACTATCTTAATTCATGTACTTAATTCATCTGCCAGACAAAAGATTTTGTTCCTGTGCCTATTCTCTCAGAGAACACTGCAAGATGGGACACCGCCTGTACTCTTTTCCCAGTAACTCTGAACTATGAGGAGAGCTGCGCAGAGTGTTTAAGATGAAATATTAAATGAACCAAATCGGTATTTGAATCTTGAACTGAATCCAAACCATTTTTTAAAGATTAAAATATTTACTTACTTCCCCCCCCCAACCCCCCCCCAACCCCCACCCCGCCCCATGTCTCTCTACCTCCTGGCTATTCTGGCAATGTAAGTGCTTCAGTAATGCAAAAGCATCTTTTCTATTCTTATTGGAATTAGAAAGGACTGGAAATCTTCTGAGCGAGCTTGTTCCCATCAGATTTCCAAACCAAATTGCATGGGATATGCTTCAGATAAGCATGCAAACTGTTGGACAAGTTTTGGCTGCAAAGAAACA